AGGTGGTGCAGGACACGGTGCAGGTCTTCCAGCACGCCGTGCCCGCCGAGGGCAAGCCCGTCACCAACCAGAAGAACTCCGGTAAGGGGCTCCGGGAGGGGATGGTGTCATTGGGGAGCGGGGTGCGCTCTCAGTGGCTGGGGGGGGTTGGGGGGTGAGTGGTGGCTTCCTCTGACATCACTTCATCGGGCTTTGGAGCCCTGCAGCATCCTCTTGGGTTAGTAACAGTCTTTAGACTCCCAGCGTTTGCCTCTGTTCCATTCTGCGTAGTGCAAGATAAAATCGGTTGATTTTTACTGAGTTTGCAGTAAAAGGTCTCTGAACTCCCTACAAGCTATTTGGTATTTTACTATCCTGGCCAAAGCCTTGAGGCAAAGCTGTGTCATGAATCTTGTGTTTAAAACAAAAACGTTACATAGCTCTTGAGTGCAGACATTCCAGTTTAATCCTTGTGCCTTTGATCTCTCAGGGAGGTGTTGGATTTTCTCGTGTCTCAACGCAATGCGTCTTCCTTTCATGAAGAAATACAACATTGAAGAGTTTGAATTCAGCCAGTCCTATCTCTTTTTCTGGGATAAGGTACAGTAGCACAGGTTGCAGGTTATGCTAGGACAGCTTGTGCCAATTGGGTGTTAGTCTGGGGACAGGATTTCTTTTAGAAATGGACTATCTTAACAATACAGGTGGAAATCATGAGAACAACTGTCAAAAGTTACTTAAATCAGTATTTTAAAGACTGGTTAAGCAAAGTGGGATTTCCGGCCTGAGAAGAAAGCTGTCAAGTTATTAATCATAGAATCCTGGAATGGTTTGGGTTGGAAGGGACCTTAAAGCTTCCACTAGAGCAGGTTGCTCCAAGCCCCTGTGTCCAACCTGGCCTTGAACACTGCCAGGGATGGGGCAGCCACAGCTTCTCTGACACCCTGTGCTCTGCTCTCTGAGCTATGTCAGCTTTTTTCCCCCTAAAGGAAATGGAGAAATTCTAGGACTGGTTTGGGCCATGTTTCATGGCATAACTCAAGTCTTGCATTTCCTGTTCCCCTACCCTCAAGCTCTGTGCTAACTCCTAAATGTTTGTTCTGTAACAGAAAGACGTTTAAAGGATAAGTCCTGGAATGTTAGATGGAAAATAAGGATGTCAGTTAGGACTTCTGAAGAACTGAATACTCGGGAATTAAGGAATGCACGATATGTCAGACTTAAGAGTATTTTTTCCTGTCCATTTCAGGTGGAACGTTGTTACTACTTTTTAAATGCCTTTGTGGAAACAGCTCAGCAGAACGAGCCTGTGGAAGGCAGACTGGTGCAGTTCCTGCTCGCCAACCCCACGAATGATGGGGGACAGTGGGATATGTTGGTTAACATTATTGGTAAGAGCATTGGTCCCTTCTTGAAATGGCATGCTGGTTTGAGAACTGAGGAGTGAGATAGAAGAAATAATTTAGTTTGAGACCTGGGGGTTTGCTAAGGAGCATGATGCCATTAGTCACTACCTTTTTTAATCAAAGACCTTTTTCATGTCAGTTCATAAATACTAGGCTTAAATCTTGTGTGGGATCTTAACTCTTGCATATTGCTGGGGATAACAGAAGCTCAGATCACCAGAAGTAATTAGACATCCCAGACTTTCTGTTCAGTAAAAATATTCAATCCCCTTTACTTCAGTCATCAACTCAACATTGATTATTTATATCCACGTATATGGTAAGGAAAAAACCCATTGCTAGAGTTGGGTGTGTCTGCAAGGCAGGAGCAAAGCTACTTAGGGCTGAAGCTTGAAGATAGGTGATGGAAAGATCAGTGAGGGAAATGATGTGGAATGTGGCAGTGCTGGTCTTACGAAGATCCAGCTGAAGTGAGATCCTTCATACACAGATGAAGGAGATACTTCTCTGTGTCTAAATTACACTAGGGTTTGCTTTTGTGTTATGAAACAATGCGACACTTTGTAAATCAACAAGCCAATAATATAAGTTTAGAATCACAAAAGGAATTTGCTTCTTTGAAGCCTGGAGGTTACTTTTTTTCCCATCCACTTGTTACAAATATTTAATCAGGGCAGAGGAGGTTTTGGATGCTGCTGTTACACCCTGAACCTTATTACACTGTGTAATATTTGACTGGTGCCATAATGTAGGAAATAGTTGAGCTGCTGCTGGTGTCTTATAAATGTTGAGGTGGAAAAGAGGCTGGGAAGTCAGTCACTCAACCTTAAATAAAGTACATGGAATAATTTGTAAGAGGCCCAGTTCTTGAAGGTAATTCAGAGGTTTAATTCTCAATTAATTTTTTTTTCTGGTGAGAAGAGCTTCTTAAAGAGCACAACTTAATTCAACACCTCAAAGTTATAAATTAGATTATACTGAGCAGTTCAGGAATTCCACTTCTGGGGACCCCATGGAATACAGATCAGAGGTCAACATTCAGTCACAAATTAAAACGTAAACTTTGAATACTCATAACCTTTAAATAAGAGACTTTCCCTTGTAATCTCTGCACAAAACCCAAGTATGTTTAGTTTTTTCATGGGTATAGGCAGAAGCATGAGCATCTACTGTGTGGAATTAGATGATGGTTAATCTGTAGTTTTATTACTTTCATTTAGAAAAGTATGGTGTTGTCCCCAAGAAAAACTTCCCGGAGTCTCATACCACAGAGGCCACTAGAAGGATGAATGAGATCTTGAATCATAAGGTAAAATTGATGTTAAGGGGAAGGGATGAGGCTGAACCTGCTCCAAGTGTTCTAGCCACCTTCCTTTCTTTTTCTTGACTAAAGCATTAAGTGCATCTCAGCAACTTCACTTACTTCTATTCAAAAAGCAGCCTGAAGTCTCAGCAGAGTCTGTTAATCTCAGAACATGGAGCAGGAAGGTGTGTTTATGGCAGATGTCCACTGCTGGGCTTCAGTAGCTTCAAAGTACCCTACATGGGCTTAGTAGCAATTGTTCCTAAGCCTCACATTTCTCAGAAGTTAATTCCTGATGTGTGGCTGATTAAGTCTGTTAATGCAAAACTGGCACTTGGTGCCTGGGTGATTTTTTTTTCCTGTCCCCTTAGTATTTCATCTACCAGTATGTCAAGGTTTCTAGAGAATACTGCCAAATTTGATGGGAAAGATGAAAAAAAAAAGTATATTTTCAAAACACTGAATCTTAAAAATCAGCTTTCAGTTAGAAAGAGCAGCTTTGTCTGAAGGAATGTATCAGCTTGCTTCTTGAACTGCAGAAATGAATCTGGGAAGATGCTAGAGTAGGTACCTAGATAAAAAGGCAATTAAAGCTTTTTTTTCCTGTGAGCTGTGGTTAATTTTTCCCCATCTTATATGCTACATGCTCAGGGAAAAGTGCCTGCAGAAATCCACATAAAAAATGTAAAATATATGCTGAAAAGCTGAGACATAATGAATGGTGTTAATGTTATTCTAGTCTTGAACATGGCAAACCAGCTGGTCTTGAGGGAGCCCTGCTCACTGTTCCTGGCCTTATGGATGGTGACAGTAATGGGAAGCGTGTGCTGCTCTTGCTACAGTTCTGCAGCAGTGGGGAAATGCTTCACTCCTTTTATCAACCAAGAGATCAATTATGCATTAGAATTGCAACATAAATTTTACAGAATAGAGACAGTCCGTTCTGAGTCAGAGGTGATGTGTGTGGATATTGCAGCATCAGTTATGGAACTGAGAAATCCAGCTTTAAGAAGATCTGATGGCTGCAAGCTTCAAATCAGTGGTTGGAAAATAGTAATTGAGTTGAAACTATTTATTTCAGATTATTTTTTGTGATCTTTTAAATCATTTAAATCTTTTTAAAAGAATCAGTATCTGACAAAGGCTTCCGGGAGGGTTTTTCTTTTAATTTGGAAAGCATGAAGAGTAAAATAGTACTTGAAACAACCAGATAGGAAGTCCCAAAAACGTAATAGGTGGCACCTTTCATATCCTTATAATAAAACGACTCTCTTGAAACAGATGAGAGAATACTGTTTGCGGCTAAGAAATATGGTGGAAAGTGGAACAATGAAAGGAGAGCTTTGTGCTGCAATGGACACGATGATAGAAGAGGTAAATACACTTGTGTAACGTGAATCTTGTGGAACACCGGGCTAGGATGGATGAGATTTCTTACTCTTGTTCTGCAGCTAATGGATTATTCAAACCAAGTGCCTTTTGTTCACCTAACTAGCAGTGTTTTGTGTGGCAGAGTGCTTGGGGGTGTGGGTTTTTACAGTGGCTTCTTGTTTATCTCAGAGTTTTTCTAATACTTCCAGACAAATATCTTGAATTTATAGAATCCCAGACTATGACATTTTGGACACATATGCCCTTTCCCATGGGAGAGCAGCATTTTGTATCTTTGGAGAGCAAAATAGTGGGCTATCAAGCTTTTATAAGGAGTAGGAAAGACATTGAAAATTGTTTTCTGCTGGCTTTGAATGTAGAATCTTGCTGCACAAGTGTTGTTGCATAAATCCCCCACAAGAGAGCAGAAAAGAACAATGAAAGGGAGTTCTGTGTAAGCTGAACACAAGCCTGAGTCCAGCTGTGGACCGATACTGGGGGGCAGCAAAGGAAGGAATTGCAGCGTCTGTTCCCGGCTCTGTGAATTAACTCCAAATCAAATCGATTGGCAAGTCTGTAGTACACAGTATGTGGGTAGTGGCTGCCTCACACTGAATGAGTGACACACATCACTTTCTCATTCAGTAGTCCTCATACTTGATTCTTAAATAGTCAAAAGTAATTTTAAATGTTCAGGCTGGTTTAGTTTGACACAGTGCATTTTAAAAAGAAGGATCTGTTGCACTTGTTCAGTGCAGAGTGGGTTTAATGTCTGTCATTAGAGGACTCAAGAAATCAAATGGTTTGGTTATGTATGTTAGTTTTTCTTCACCCCAGTAAACATTAGTGTTAGGCTGAGCCTACCTTGGTCTATTTGTACAAAGCTTCAGATAGTTCCACTAATACACAAGTATTGATTAATGTGTTGAGTTGGTTTTTAGAAGTTTGCCTTTGCACTTTATGTAAAAACCTGATTTTACCTAATTTTACGGTTAGATTAAAAAAAAAAAAAAAACCCCAAAACAAAAACCTGAGTTGTGTGCCTTGGGTTACATTACTGAAATGAAGACTCTTAAGAAACTTCTTATGCCTTCAGATGAACAGTAACTCAGTGCTTTGAGACTACCCCAGTGTGTTGCCAAACAGTACTTAATTCATAAGTGAATTAACATGATTTACATCCAGTGTGTGTCCAAAAGTCCTTGGAGGATTTTACAGCAGACATCAAGAGCTTCCTGGAGATGTTCATTTTTAGGGCAGTGACATGCAGTTCACTGCACAGTGGCTCTTCACTTGTTAAGAGCATCTTGCCCTCCAGTGAGGGAGGGATCCTGGAACTGCCATTAAAGGCTTATTAACTGATTGCAGTTTGTTCTGTAAAAAGGTTGTGTTTAGTTTGCTGAGGTTAACACAGTGTTTTCTCCTGCAAGTGGTTTGCAACTTCTGTTGACTGAAAATAAATCCACTTTGTAGTTGAAATGTGCAATTGCACCTCTCTTGTATACTTTAAAACACTTAGTTTGAGAGTTTTGTGATCACTTGTTTCATGTGTTTATATGTATACAAGTGGTATTGCATCTGGTTTTGTATGTGGCAAAACAGAGCTTGGGTTTGTTCTGTGCAGGCTTACTTGCACAGCCAATCTTGGTTTGCTCATGCAGGGAGGCAGTGCTCTGACTAAAATGGGGCAGTCATACTGGCACACAAGATTAAATATTCACTCCAGAACTGTATAAACATTCTTCTTATCAAGCCAGTGCACAGCAGGTCAGCAGCTGAAATCAGTGCAGTGCATGTGATTGACTTTTTCTTCCTTTGTTGTTCTCCTTTGTAGACTCTTCCTTATCAGGAGTATCCTCCTTTTCCCTTCCTTGTTCATTTGGGATTTCAGCACAAACCACTATATCTTTGCCTTATCTTGGTTCTAGTTGTCATTGCAGTGATATAAGTCACCTTTTAGTTTAAGAGTCTGCTTATTTATTGATTGAGGAAGCTTGTGAGATCCTGAGATGGGCTGTGCTGGGTGTGGTGGCAAAACAACTGAGGGAGGCCATTCCCAGGCTCCACTGCCCCTGAGACTTCTGTCTCCATCACTTTCCTTCCTCTGGCTGGAGCCTGCTTGTGTTTTGCTCTCCTTTTAGGCATATTTTTTTCTTGCTTATTTTGTTTTCATAACCTCATCTCTCACCACTTGGGGTTAGCTGAGGTAACGTGGGTGTATCCACAGCAAATGCTGCTTTTTGTAAAGCAGTCTGTGCAAAGTTAAATATTTATAGTAGTTTAGGGATTTACATTTGCTCTTTAACATATTTATTGAGAGATAAATGTGAGAGTTCTTCCAGTGAAAACATGAAGCCCACACCTTTGTTTCAACCCATAATTAATCTCTTGGCTTATTTTCTTAAACTGCTTGGAGCATGAACACCTTTATTTGTATTTTGTGCACAGCCAAATAGAGTTATTTAGCAGGAGAACTATGCTCCTTTTGCCATCAGCACACAGCTAATTCTTAAGGAGCCTTAAGATCCCTATAGAACAGTTCAACTAGCTCTGGGTAGTAAGTCAGCTCTGGGAAAGGTATTTTGTGTCCTCTCCTATGAAAAGTAAGTGAGAGGAAGGTGTGAAGACAGCCTAGGAAAGCTGCCACAAACCAGTGCCTGGGCCCTAGTGCAGAAGGTGCAGTTGGGATTTGACTCCCGCTTCTCTTATTTAAAATAACCTGTTGGTTTCTTGCAAGGGGAAGACTCAGGACATGGACAGAGCTGGAGCAGACCAGTGTCAGCTGAAGTAAAACAGATTCAGACCTGTTTCAATATGATTGAATTGTCTGTCCCCAGAGTACCTGTGGCAGGTCCTGCTAAATATCTTTAGAGACAGTCATCTGGTTACACTGCCTACGAGTTAACACATTTTGTGATAAGCCCTGTGAGAAAGTACAGGAGAGATTAAGTACAGCTTCATATTCTGATTTATAGGGATGCTGATGACTTGAAATCTGGTCAACTTTGTGTGCTAAGAAGCAACAGAAAGCTGCCATCTGTGAAGGATGTCACAGTCGGCAGGCAGGGATCTTGGATGAAATTAAATAACCTGCCAGCTCAACCCTAAACAGAGACATTGTCAAACATATTAAAAAGGATGGGAAGATTATTCTAGGCTTTTGAAAAGAAGCAGAAGTCCATGCTTGAAATCCAAATGATCATTACATGAACAAAGAGATTAGTACAGGGGAAACACTGGGGTGGATTGCTTTGCTATATGCATGGTAGAAGGACTGGTTTGTCTTTGCATGGGGCAAACCACCTGGTGGAATAAGTGATGCTGAATGCTTAAGCCTTTCTAGGACCAGTCTGATAAAGTTTCTTTTGCACTGGGAAAGTATCTTGTTGAAGGAGCTTCAGAATTATGAATTGCTGGCATGAGACTGGGCAGTGTATTGGCCTTGGCTTTGGCTGTTGCAAACCTGGAATTTGTGTTCAACCTTGAGCTTCTGTTTTGCCTGAGAACTTGGAGTGTGAGAATAGAGAGAGATTCTGGTTTATTTCCTGTGGCCTTTCAGTTTTCCTTTTGGACTGTTGAAACACTTAGATTTCCAGACCTGAATGCAAGTAATTCATGTGTATGTGTTTATTCATCTTCTTCAGAGGTTGCTGCTAAGATCCCGTTTCTCCAGTTGGTTCTGACATGGAGAAATCCATTCCTCAGTGGCATTGCTGGGGTAGGAGAGGCATTGCTGCATGTTTCAGCAGGTTCACAGCTCTTTGCTTCTCTGGGCAGGTATTCAGAATAGTGAGTACTTGCCTGGGCAACCCTCCGGAGACTTTCTGCTGGGAGTTCCGGGATAAGGAGAAGAACTACCACAAGTATGGCCCCATGACACCGGTGCAGTTCTACAATGAGCATGTGAAGCCTTACTTCAACATGGAGGACAAGGTGGGAATGCAGAAAGGCTTTCCAAGCTTCCCAAGATGTTTCTTTGCTGCCAAGCCACCTATTTCCACTGTTGCAAGTGTACTGTCCACCCCTGTAAGCCATATGTGTTGGGTGCTACACCCACAAGTTAAAGATGTTTATTCTCCTCATTCTCCTGTTAGTGCTCTACCCACCAATTAGCTCTGATCTTATATTGCACTTCCATGATGGTTTTGTAATGATGAGATGTGTAATGATCTAATCAGTCATAAACTGCCACGAGACAGCTATCAGAGAGCAGGAATAACATGCAGAGCTGCTATGCCAGTTAGGAGGTGAACTAATAACAAAACCAAATAAAACCTTAAAACCCCTGGTATTTCAGTCAAGTGGCTTGTTTGCTGATGGCACAGACAGCTGGGAGCAAAGCAACCCTCTGAAATCCAGCTAGATTCACTTCTCAAAGGCTTTAGTTAAGTTGCACCCTGATTTGTGACATCTTGGGTTTTGGCAGATTTGTCTAGTGAATGATCCTCGGCCTCAGAATCCATACAACAGGCTGTACACAGTGGAGTACCTGGGCAACATGGCAGGAGGGAGGAAAACACTCTACAACAACCAGCCTGTGGATGTCCTGAAGAAACTAGCTGCAGCATCCATTAAGGATGGCGAGGTTGGTTTGTTTTTCTCCTTGTGGATGGCTCGGGGCAGCCCTTGTGATGTTAAACTGGCTGGGATATGGCCCACATGTGACTCTGCTTTCTATTTGTAGGCTGTGTGGTTTGGCTGTGATGTTGCAAAGCACTTCTATAGCAAGCTGGGAATCAATGACTTGAATATGTAAGTAGACAATTGAAATGGAGTAGCATTTGGGATACTTGGTTAGGACATAAACAGTCCTTAAGCTGCTTAAGAAACTAATTTGTACAAATTTGTATTGTATACCCCCCAAGAGTATATTTAAGTAATTCAGCAGCAACAGAATGTTTTTTCACTTGTTAGCTAAACTCTGAATCCTTTAAAGTGCACAAGTGGTTGTTAAATATTCATACTCATTTGAATTGTTTCATACTTGCTGACAGAAACTCCTAAAGAGGTCAGGTTTTGCATTTATTCTGACACTAAAAATAGTTGAACTTTTATGCCTGTGCACTGGCTCCTGGGACATAGTTTACTGATTTCCTGGTGTACTACTAGTGAGAACCCTCCCTGCACCCTTTTTGATACTGCTTATGTGCCTTCCCAATAGATACAATCATGAGCTGGTGTTTGGTGTCTCCGTCAAGAACTTGAACAAAGCAGAACGGTTAATCTTTGGGGAATCCATGATGACCCATGCCATGGTGCTGACGGCTGTCACTGAGAAGGTGAGGCTCCCTCCTCAAGTTCTGACACTTTCATGGATGTATCTGACTGTTCTGGAAGCTTGTTTGCGTTCTGGGCTCATTCACGGTGTTCATGTGTGCCACAGCAACCCTGGGTTGTCTGTTCTCCCTGTGGTGTTTGAGTGTTCAGAACATATTTAACAAGGAGGGAAGAATTTGTGGCAAGTCCAGGACTTTTTTCCTTCTGCCCACAAACCTTTATTGGAGAAAGGGAAAAGAAGGTCAGCTTCTATTTTTAACAAACCAGAAAACCTATGTTAACTGATTTTTAAATACAGATTCTTGATGTATCTTGCGGAGCAGGAAATGAAGCATCACATCAAGTGTTTCGTGCCATGTCCCACTGCATGAGTTAGTCTTTTTTTACAGCATGAAGCTCCTCCTGTTAAAATGCCAGTAGGAGGCACTTTGCAATGGTCTAAACCTCCTGCAACTCTGGCATCTGACCTCCCTGACCTACTCATAATTAGGGAAGGAAAATGGTGTCCAAAATAGCCCTGTGGCAGACAGTAGGCTGAGATGAATCCTCAACTAAATCGGCTCCTGGCAGTATAACAAAGCACATGTGGAGTAAAAAGAACCATGTGAAATCTTACAACTCGGGGTTATCTGCAGTGTAGTTTTCCATTTATTTCCAGAAGCTGTCATTAGTAAAGTTTCTTTGAAGTGATCTTTTCCTGTCCAACATGACCTTGGCTTGAGAAGCAACAGCTTGCACAGAACTGAAAGTTTGTTTGAGCTCTGGAGTTTGAGGAACGGAGATGGGAATGCTGAGTCAGAACTTCTGAGTTACTTTTTACAACTCAGTGTATTATTTCTACTGTTCTGCATTCTGAGCTCTTAACATTTCTAGCTTGTGTGTCAGATTGCATGAACGCATCTTTAAAGTCATTGGTTTTCCGTTAGACATTTAGAATGATACTTTTCTAGCATTTAAAACCTATTATCTGTTCACAACTGAAGCCTGTCTGTTTGTACTGATTGTAGCCAGTTTGTGGCTGTGTTTCATTGCAGCTATAGTCTAGGGTCTGTATTTTTAAATTCATTCTTTTACATGCCTAAATGTATAGTTGCATAAACTGTGACCTGATTTCTTAAAGAGACGGATGTGTATCAGATCAATAAGGATGGTATCTCTAAAACCAAAGATAGTTTAAAAGAAATAATCCTAAAACAAGTTCAGCATTTCGAGGCGTTTCCACATTCAAAATGGACCAGGTTATTTCTACTTTTTATTTGAACATGTTGTCTTCTATTAAACCTTAATCTAAAGGAACTCTGATAAACTGAGTTATAAAATGTAATACCTTGGATTTACCTGCTTTATAAAAAAGCTTTGAAGATTTAAAAAATCCTATTACAATTTTACAACATAAAATTGATGTGGATTAAATGCATCTCTTGGTTCAACTTGATGTACATAAATGTGTCTGATGGCATCAAGAGCTGGCTTATCCCTTGTCTGGTGACTCTTGTGTCACATTTGAAGGACTGTCCTCTTTTTTCAAGTGAGAATAAAAGCAATAGTAATATTCCACTGAATAATAAAAAGGGATTTATGGGGTGCTTTGCAGGTTAGCTTTTTGTATTAGAAAACTATTTTTGTAGCAAAAGAATAACTATTCTTTGGTTCCTCAAGGGACCTGCTGTTGCCTTGTGGGAGGCTGCTTGAAAGAAGCAGCAGTTCACTTGGCACAGCGAGCCTATGAAGCTGTTTTTGGTGCTTTTCTGTACTTGGTAGATTTGAACCACACTTCAGGTATACCCAGTGCAGGCTGGAATACTGCACACTCCTGAACATGAACTCCTGCACTCCATGCTCATTAGAAGCCTTGTCTGTCTTTCAGAGCAGCAGACTTGGAGCTGTGTCCTTCAGCTACATCTTGAAGTGTTTGTATTTGCTCTTACTGTTACTGTTATAAATTATTAGAGATGCTTTGTTGTCCTTGTTCCTTTCCTCTGATTCCTAGTTCAAGCAAGTTGCGTTCTGCATTTCAGAAGGCCCCATGAGAGGTCATAGGGAAGGCTGCTTAAATTCTGTCAGTTAGTTAAGTCCAAAATCAAATTTAGTTAAATTTTCTGGTGAAAATAAGTACTTCTTGCAGGGCCTCTTCTAGACCACATTTCCTCCTGTAAGCAGGTAGACAAGTATTTTAGGAAATAGCATTTCTCCAACCATTATGAATATTGTCTGAAAGTTATTGATGCCTTTTGGGAGTGGAGCTCTGTGGGTTGCTGGTGCTGGATTTAGACTTGGAAGGGTTGGCTGCTACAAACTCGTGTGGTCCTTCACTACTGAATAGCCATCACCTTGTTTTGTCACAGGATGGGCAAGAAGATGCATTTGAAAAATGGAGAGTGGAAAACTCTTGGGGTGAAGACCGTGGTAATAAAGGTAATTTATAATCATGGGAGCAGAAAGCTGAACTTGGTGTTTGGGAATATGGAGGAGGAAGGAGGATGTGCTGTGTGTCCTTCACCAGGACATGCATGAAACAAGCCTGCAAACACATGCAGATCACTGACTTATGGCACTGTATTCCTGGAAGACAAACATTCCTCACTTAGATGTGATCTGTAACTGAGTAAATTGAATGTAAACATTGGAGAAGCAGGAAGTGTCACTGGATAAACCTGACACTGTGGCTGCAAGTTCAACTGGAGAGGCAATTGTGGGTTTGGGAGGTGGCCGTAAGTGGCTGATGCTGACAGTTCTTGGCAGACAGGGCATTTGGTCCCCAGGGGAAGGGGACACAGTTAACAGGCTCCCATGCTGGAGGCTAGAACTGGAACTCTGGATACAGTTTAATGATACAGGCCATGTATTGTCTTTATAGTGTTTGACAGTCCAATAACTAAACTTATCATGTATGGGAAGATACTGGTAGAATATAATAAAGGATTTATAACAATAAATACTTCATTATAACTGCAGTCAGGCCTTGGCAGAGCACTTGGGAAAAGTGGAGTGGAGGGAAACTCCATGATTTTAGTCATCCTCTATCAGGGCAGGCCGGATGCGGGCTCGGGCCTGGCTCAGGCTCACTGATGAGCATGCCGTGACAGACTCCAGTGTGTCCCAGGGCACAGCACAATAGTCATTGCTGACCACATTTTTCTGCTGCACATTAATTCCAAATGTTGTGCTTACAAGATTTGGTATGGCTGAAATTTCCCAGGATGTCTGGGTTTTCTTCTGGGAATAGACTGTTTTTGGAAACCTCTGGTTTAGGAAGTGGTCTTGTTCATAAGCTTTGGATACCTTGCAAACAGCTAACTGAAATGTAAGATATTCTTGCAACAGTGTCTTAATTGATGCTCTGGCCCCTTGGTGCTGCAATAGTGTCTGTTCTGAGTTAGCTGTGTGCATTCACAGCAAAGTATTCCAATAACAATCTTCAGTCTTGACCAAACAATGAAACTATGTTGATGTGCAGCCTTCAAGGCTCATCAGTGTGACAGTAGTAAAATGTACTTTGGAATGTTGGATTAAGTAGAGAAGCCAAGTAGTAAAAAGTAGCATCAAAACTTTTCTTGTCTCCAAAGCTAACTAAGGACCTTTATTGTATAACAGAGAATATAAAACATAAAAATGGCTGCTTAGATGTGCTCTTACTGTCAAACACTTTGAGACACTCCAGATAATCAGTTTGTGATGTTTGATGTTGCTAGTGATAGTGGAATGCTTCCAAGAAGGAAGTGCCTTACTCGGCTTGCTTTACAACCACTCAGTGTGGACTTAGGTTTGTACTCCAAATGTTCTGGAGTTCACAGGTGTGTCAGAGCTTTGGCTGCGCTACCAATACATGCTCCTTGGCCAAGGTTGAGTTGTTCTTTACTAGACCTGGAGAAAGATTGGCTCCGTTTCAGGATACTGGCTGATATTCCCAAACAGTGCAGTGGGCTGAAGCCTGGCACTGCTTGCAGGAGTTGTACCTGTGGAGCTGTGACTGAACAGCAGCAGTTCTGTGCTGGTGTTCCTGGGCTGGAGCACCAGGGAATGCTGTGATGGAGCTGAAGAGGCTGGGCGGGGGAGGGGGGGGAGCCATGTTTGCATTTTTGGCTTTCTTCACTTCAAGCATGTAATCAAAAACAAAAGATGAAAGTTACAGCAACTAGAAGTGAATAGTGCAGTGCCTCAGGCTTCAAGTTAGAAATAACACTAAGCTAACCCTGTTCTCTAGTCGTCTTTTAGGATTACTCTGAACTTGTTTGCCAGCTTTGTAAGCTTAATTTGCTGCTTGGTTTTCACTAACAGTTTATCCTTCTTAGACATTCTCTTTTCCAAATAGAGATTCACCTTTTAAATGGCTCTAAAAGAACTCATTCTTAAGAGGAGCTGGTTGTTCCTTTGAGATCTAATAGGACCCTGCCTGTACTTAGTGTGCATGTATTGTGTGCATGGCATCTGTGTGAACTCTGGGTTAGTCACTGTCACTTATCTATTCTGTGCTGGTAGAGACACCACGGTCTCTGGAAAGTCTTGCTCACTGCTTATGTTTTGCTTTGGTTAGGGAGTTGCATGGAAAAGTGCCTTGAGAGAAAATCCCATCAGAATTAGGAAGCTTGACTCTGTTTCAGAGTTATTTTTGTCAGGGAGGTGAATCCCTGAGTGACTTTCTTGGGCATGACCAAACAACCCACTGTGGAGCTAAAGGCAGCTGTACTATCCTTCAGAGCTCATTTTTGGATGTTAGGAGAGGTAACTTGGTAGAGTTTCCTCCCCTTTCTCCTGCTTTTTCACTCTTCAGTGTCCAGTACTAACTGGTGCAGGAGGTGAGGATTTGTGCTCTGTCCTAGCTCTCTTGCTATGCCACAGAATCTCTCTGGCAGTGATTTATTTTTAATCTTATCTGCCTTGTTAAGGAATTGGGCAGCTGTGTTTGGAAAAGTCCAGTGCAGAAAACCAGAATCCACATCAGTAAAGAGGCCAAGAATGATGTTAAACTTGGCACATCCCAGCTGAGGCCCAGTTGGGTGTGGGGGATACGAGTAAGCCCCAACTCTGTTATTTCTTGGACACAATGACAAAGGGCACAGCCCGCAACAAACCACCAGAGACTGGGCTTTGAGTCATTAAAAACCAAGCAAACAAATGACTTGGCGTTGGTAGGAAGTGGAACTGTGTTTTTCACATGGGGTCCCTCTTGCTTTGCTCCCAGTACAGCCCAAGGTGCCGGATACCACCTGCTTCCCCAGGCTTGGTTGGTGCAGGCCGGGAGAGCCTGTGGCTCCTGGTTTGGGTATCGTGGGATGAAGTCAGTTACATGCTCACACTTCACAGTGCGCAGAACTGAGTGCTTGTAGTAGCAGTGCTTGTCTCAGAGACAGGGAAGCCCTGGGAGCAGCTGAGCATTGATTGCCTCTCCTAAATACTTAGTAATTACATTCAGATCTGTTGAAAAAGTGTTTCTTGGAATCCTGTCTGGTTTTCCTCAAGGAACGAACACAGCTGCTGACAACATCACTTGTTTTTTGAGGTAAAAAAGTCACTGCCCAGTCAAACGCTTGCTTTCTGTGTTTCACTGGCACTCTGTCAGCCATGCAGGCAGATGCAATTATCCTGTGTACTCTTTTGTTCTGACACAGGACATTATTACCTAGCTTTGAACCCTGCTTATCCCAACGGATATCTCTTTTTGAAACCAAGCACAAGAGGAAGCCTAGGTCACCTTATCACATCCAGCTGATAGGGGTCCATCTGCTTGTTTTGGCATGAAAAGAACTTTCTTGTGATACATCTCCAGCTAGAAGTCAGCTCCCTTTTGACTTTTTTTCATCTCTTGCACTAGCTGTTACATAAATACATACATAAATAAATACATAAAGGATTTAACTGTAGACATTTAGTGGCTGTATTTGTATATGTGTGTATATATCATCCCATAAGTACACTATGACAGAAAGACACTGTTAGTTTGTTCTCCAACAGAGGAATTGCAGCACAAGCACAAAGCGGCTTGTAGTAGTCCTCTGGGAACTTTCAAGGGCTTTCTTTTCAGGTGCCCAGATCCCAAGTTATGGAATAATTTGCAGGCCATTGATCCTCAGCTGAGCTCTCCCTGGCCATCAGCTGGGCAGTTTAAAATGCTTTTCCTTTGGGTAAGCTAGAGAATGTGGACCAGCCTGGTACACAGAGGAGTACACTTCGTAGGCAGGTGCTGTGTTCTGTTACAAGGTGCTGCTGTTCCAAGTTCTTTTCAGTATTCTGGCCTTAACCTACAACTGGGTTGAGTAGAGGCAATAGATCAATTTCCTGAGGTGAAACTCCACTGGGTACCCTGCCTAGAAGTGCAGTAAACTTTCCTGGTTCTTTTCACTTCTGCCCATTACCTGGCTGCAATGCAGGGCTCAGGCTGCCTTAGGTGTTTATACATACTGCATGTAAAGTATGTATGTCTGCTTTTAATGAAGAAATTGATAATGGCTTTCATTGTGACACTGGGCTCAGGCCTTCTCAAACAGTGTCCTTACTTATTTGCATGTTCTGAAGTTCTGCTTCACGCTTCCTCCTTGTTCAGACACTGTGATCCTAATCAGCACTGTCAAGCTTTGAGATACAGGATGTCAGCAGCAGAGTTCATTATCCTCTCAGGGTGCAATTACTTGTTGGCTCTTGGGAGTGAGAGGTTTTTGTGTGTCCCAAGAACTCATATCCTGAAGAGAGAATAATCAGGGCAGCTCCCTTTGGCAGTGTTTCCAAAATGGTTCCTAGCTCGGATTATAGTTGATAGGGTTTTTAATTTATGGGAATTATCTGATCTCTTGCTTTAGAAACAAGATGCTGTAGATAGATGCATTTATTGTCCATATTCTTTAGACATTTTCTTGTTTCATTTGATTGTGGGATGATACTGTATAAGGACATGAGGAACTTTATTACATAAAGCCTGCTCATCTGTCTTCTAAATGCTTTCTTTCTCCCAGCCTCTCTTTATTTTCAGTTCACCTTGAACAGTTTGTTTCCAATAGCAGCTTTCTGCTAAAGCATGTCATACTCTCAAAGTGACTATTTTTCCCCCCATTTCAAAGGCTCTTCACTGAAATTGTCAGTACTATATTAAGGAGAAAAAAATTAAGATTTAGTTCAGCCAAAGTGTGATTTAGGAGGTTTATGTTTGAGGGGAGCAGATGGCCTCCTCTTACTGCAAGAACTAAACCAGTAAAGTTTTCTTAAGCCACAGATGGTTGGATATTCACCTAGAAAATTTCCCTTTTCTTAACAAAACCCTGGAAACATCTAAAGCCAAGGACTTAACTGCCTTAAATGCCTTTGTTTTAAGGCATTGCAATTCACTTGAATATTCTCAATGCCTGTTCTAGCAGAGGGAACGTAAATGATGAACATTCTGGGTCTTGTTTTTCCTGGCAGGCTTTTTGCCCGGTCTTTCAGTGCACATGAAGTACATCTGGTTAGCCTGAAGGTTAATTTCTTTGCCTTGAGAGATACCATATCTGACTAGTCCTGTTTAACACATCATACACAAGTGAAACTTGTATCTGTGACTGCTTCACTCTGGTGGTGGTGGTTCTCTTGTAATGAGCTGTTTTCATCTCCAGGTTACCTGATTATGACTGATGACTGGTTTTCTGAGTACGTGTATGAAGTGGTGGTGGACAAGAAGCACGTACCAGAAGACATCCTGGCGGTGATGGAGCAGGAACCAATTGTTTTGCCAGCGTGGGACCCTATGGGGGCTTTAGCCAAGTGAATATTTGCCTCTTAACGGTCAACCAGAAGTAGATGCAATAGAGAATTCCAGTGGTTGGAAGCCATAGCCAAATGATAATGTGACCAAGCCCTCAGCATGGTCCATATTCTTGAAATGTAAGTTAAGGATCATTGGGAAATAGCGCTTTACTGACTCGCCTGAATGAAGCTCTTGGACAGGCTACTCCAAAAGCCAAAAAGGGGAAAGGCAAAACCTCATCATGGAAAAGTATTACAAGTGCTGTCAATGGCACTTTGATTTCACTTGAAATTTTGAATAGAAATCACTATAGTAACTTAGAATTACTTTGACCAGTGTTTTCCCTAGAAAAGATGGCCATTGAAGGCCCTTTAGAATTGCCAGCTAAGTGATTGTTAGAACAAATACATTGAGATCCTTATAAATTCACCATCTGTGGTCTGACTGGTACCGTAAAAGAATGCCCAAAAGATTTTATATATTTACACTTTCACATGTGCTGAAGTTTTGGAGGGGAGGAAAGAATTGAAACTGCTAAAAATTACCTTTTTGGAAA